TGATATAAAATTTTACAAAAAAAGTTATAGACTTAGTTACTAAAAAAAATTAATTTAAAAATTTAATTATTGAATTTTATATACATAAGAAATTATTTAATAAAAAACAACTTTACTTTAAATTACGTTTGAAATAAGATGTCATTTTGTACAATTTTACTTTAATTTCAAGGGTGGAGGGAGGTGGGATTTGGAGGGGCCATAGTCCCCAGTTCCCATTATTTAAAATGTGTCAAAATTAATTTTAAATTATTTTTTGACCTCCATAAAATTTATATAAAAAAATTATAGATTGATAAATAAAAATTATTGTGTTAATTTACACTTATAAAAAGAAAAGGAGAGAAATATATGTAGATTGATATTAAATATGATAGAAAGAGAGATAAAAGAAGTATAAATAATGATAAATTATTTATGATGTTAGAATATTTAGGTATAAATTTATAAAAAAAAAATTACTCCCCATAAAATAATTTTCTAGCTTTGGCCCTGTTTAATTTATTCTTGAAAGTTGAAATAATATGGTCAAGTGTGCATAACTTTATTTTAAGTTACTCTCCATATAATACTAGTCATGAAAAAATAGATAAGGTATTTATCAAAGCAATAAACAAAAATTTGAATTTGTTTAGATAAATTTTTCTAAAAACACTTATAAAAGAGAGAAATAGGATAAAAATTTGAACTAAATTTCTTTATGAGCTAAAAGTAGCTTATTCATCAATTAAAAATACGATTTGGAGAAACTAATAGAATTTCTTTTTTTACAAACTAACTTATTTTTTCTTATTTTTCTCTCCTATAAATTCTTCTAAAATCAATTTGTTCAAACAAGTCCTTTGTCAACAGTTACTTAGGCTTTTGTTATATACACTTAACCTGTTTGCTAAGTACACTCCTCTTTCATTTTTTTTTAAAAGCAAATTTTCTTAAAAAACCTTCCTTTATCAAACATTTTCTTCACCCTCAACACTTCCCTTTTCAAAGTCTTCTCTTTCACCATACTCTCTTTGTTCCCCCTTTTGGATCAATCTATTGCTCTAGCTGCTTTTGTCCCCTTCCTCACGTCTTACTAATACTAACATGAAAGAAAAAAATAAATCCCAAAAAATACTTTTTGAAACTCAATAAAATCACATTTTAAAAAGTTCTTTTTAGATTGAATTTCGGAAAGTCCTTTCCGATATATTATTTTGTTATTTATATTTCAGAAATAGAAAGTATTTTTTGGAATGCGGAGTTCGAAAAAGAACTTTATGTATATAATTTTTCTAACTTATTTTTTGCTTTTTTGTGATATGGAGGGACTAAAAGTCCAAAAGAAAACAACTAGTCCTGAATATCAGGCAAAGTGGCCAACCAGGAATCCAAATCCACAAATTGCAGAGAAGATTCAAAGAAACAAGCATCACCCTCCAAGGAAAGACCAAATTTAGCAATAAGCAATAGCAATAACTTTAGGCAATAGCAATACAACAAAATTTTTCAACACTTGGAACGAACGTATAAACTAGGCATGTCTACCATGTCTCTGTTTAAATTAAATAAGTTTTCTTTTAGGTGATTTTCATTTTATAAAAAATATTTTCAATTAAATAAATTTGAAATAAAAAACTTATGCTTGATAATTTTTTTTAAAAATATTTTTGAAATAAAAATTTAATAAAAAAATCACCAAACTAAATTTAGTTAAGCGTACATTTAAAATATTTTAAATTTGTTAGTACGAGTCGGTATATTTTTAATTAGAACAATTTATTTATTAAAAAATGCCCTAATACTTTAGACTCATACATTTCTTATTTATATTTTGTATTCGAACTTTATAACGACTCGACAAATTTTACATTTATTATAGTTCAGTCTCAACACAATAAAAAAAATAATATTCAACTAATTTAGAGTTATCGTGCACATTGATATATGTAATAGATAGAGAATAAATAAATAAAACATAACATGTACACGTATACAACTTATATCCACAATATACTAGAGTATATAACTAACTCGTCAATCAAAGTCTAAACCTTAAACCTAAATTATACAAGACCTAATTACAACAAAATAGTTTCAATGAAATGAGTCGCCACCAACGTGATTCACATCTCATAAAAAACCTTTTAACAACTTAATTTGATAACAACAAATTTGCATTTGACGCCATCTCATGAATGCCCAACACCATTAAGGTAGGGTTTTCTTGACTTGCCCATGCTTGACGCTAAACTACCCATGCTCAACATGGCTAGGTTCTCTTTAATTTTTCTTAAAACATGAATTTATGAGGTTCACATCTTAAATAAAAAGCCTTATATACCTTTATCTCAATTGATTCAACTAACTCTAATTATAATTGATTTAGAGACAACTTAACTTTGACTCAACTATCTTAGAGGCTAACTTAACTCTTTAGGTTCCCATTGACCACTAGAGTTCTCAATAACAACTAACGACTAAATATCATAAATCATATAATTAATTATATTAAACATCTAAATTTACATTGTTACAGTCTCTCTAAATAAAAATTTAGGGTTTATTTTGATAAATTAGTTTGTAAACGCTTATAGAAAAAGAAATAAAAAAAATTAGTTTTTTTATTAGCTAAATTTAATTTATACATAAATTAAAAATAATTTTAAAAAACTACTTTGAAAGAACATTTTCAAATTAATTTATGTATAAAATAATTCTAATTTCTAGAATATTTTATTTTTATTTTTTATTTTATTAAATTTATTTCTTGAGAAATTTATTCAAATAAATTATAATTTCCCCAACACTCCGAGGTCTTATGTTACTTTATCTTATTTTATTTATTTATTATTATTAGAAACATAAAAAGAAATAATAATGTTAAGAGAATTATAAGTCTATAAGAAAGGGGGACACAATTAAAATAAAAGAAAAGAAAAAAAATAATCAGTAAATTAAGACAAACCCATGAAAACTAAAAAAAAATAAAAAAAAGCCGAGTCTTGGCAATAAATGAAAATAAACCTGTAATATCCAAGGCCAAAACGTATATCACGAAATAATAAATTTCTTCATAAGTAATTTAAAAAAATAAAAAATAAAATTTTTTATAATTTTATTTTTTGACACCAATTTTTTTATTAGTTAAAATTAATTTTTTAAAGTGAATCTTAAAATCAACTTATACATAAATTAAAAACCATATTTTAGAAAAATTTAATATAAAATAAATTGTAAAATAATTTATACGTTAATTAATTTTAATTTTAAAAAATATTTAATTTTTATTTTTTTTTCTACAAATATTTATGCAAATAATTATCTAAACGAATCTTTTGAATTAGTCCAAGACAACTGGACTTGACGGGGTGTAGCAGTTAAAATGTCATGATTAGTTCATAAGAAGAGTAGAATAATTAGTTTATAAGGACCGTCATTATATAATAATTCATCAACGGATGCTGCTTCGGATAAAAATGCAAACTTATAGTCGTAGAAGTAAAAATAATGGCACAAAAAATAATATTATTTTGTAGGATCTAGAAACAGGTAGAGGGGCAGCAACAAAAGCACCTCTAATTCAGTAATCGAATATCATCCAAATTATATTATAAAATAATTATTTAATTTAATATTTTATAATTTAATTTAATGTTTTATAATTTAAATTAATATTTTATTCATTTGGAATGATTTTCTGAAAGTCCTTTCATATTATCTATCATTTTTCTAATTAGAAACAACTAGGATTACAAGTTACTATCAGTTAGGGATGTTGACCATATTTTGAGAAGACCAAATTATTGAAGGTTTCATACATTTACACCTACCTTCGTTTATTTTTTCTTAAATATATTTTTAATTATTTAAATTTAAGATAAATTTATCTTTAATATTTTAAATTTAAAACAATTTTTTAGTTCCCTATAATTCTAAAAAAAATATTTTAATTTTTATATTCAAATTTTATTAGAAAATTTATTAAATATTGTCGTATAAAATTTATCCATTGATAACTTTTTAGTGAATACATTACAATAAATTCAACTGATATTATATAATTGTCTTAATAAGTAATTTTTAAATATGTTATTGATAACATTAAACCCAATTAATATTACATCATTGTCTCAATAAATTATTTTCTTCATAAGTTATTTTTAAATATGTTATAAGTGGCCAAGAGAGTAAAAAAAGGAGAGTAGGCCAAATTTTATTCCTTAAAAAATAAAGAAAAATTCTTTGTATTTTTTTATTAATTGATTCAACTATTTAAATTTATGATAAATTGCTGTGGAATTATTTAAAAAATATAAATTTAATTTAGCTCCTGTGTAATGTATGCTATTTCAACAAATAGATCGATCTATTATTTGATTAGTGTAACATTTTTACTTCTGTGACAGCTCAAACTACAAGATGTTATTATGCTAGTGGGTAAATAACTTTTCTATGCATATCTACTATAATTTGGACATCATTCTTATATTAATCACCCCCATAATAAATTTAGATACTTTTCTACGATTTTCTTTCTCCAGCCTTTCTACTGCAACATTAATAGTTATTAGATATATCTAATGACTCAAATTTAATCACTTAAGAAGTTACATTAATTATAAGATTAAATTTGAGCCATTAAATATATTCCATGACTATTAATGTTGCAGGAGAGAGGTTGGAGAGAAAAATTATAGGAAAAGATCCAAATTCATTAATTACCCCATGTAAATACAGTAAAACACTTTTATTGTATTTATTAATTTAGGGCAAATTCTTAATAACAAATTGGGAATAAGAAGTAGCTTTGGTTATATACACTAATTTTATTATATTCTCGGAACTAGCTCCTACATTTCTTGGATTTATTTTCTTGCCGTGTGAATGATATGCAATTGCCAATTGGTTATTGTCTTACTCACTTGACTTGAACAACATGCGCTTCTTCCATATCCCATTCAATTTACCAAACTCTATATAAAGTTATCTGATAATAGATACACCACCATCTACCAGCTTCCAATTCCTTATCAAAAATGAAACATTTTTCTCCCACTTCGCTTGCATTTCGACCCACACATCTCCACTTATTTTCTCTCTTTGCATTGAACTTGCTATGCTTTACACCAAAAATATCTGCTTTTGCTTCAACAAATGAAATCGATAATTTGGCATTACTCAAATTCAAGGAATCTATATCCAGTGACCCATATGAAATTTTCCTTTCTTGGAATACTTCTACTCACTTTTGTAACTGGTTTGGAATCACATGCAATTCCAAGCACCAAAGAGTTACAGAATTGAATTTGGAAAGATACCGATTGAAGGGATCCATATCTCCCTACGTAGGCAATCTCTCTTATATGAGAAGCTTCAACCTCGGAAACAACAACTTCTATGGGATAATCCCACAAGAGTTGGGACGGTTGTCACAATTGCAATTCCTCTCTGTCTCAAATAACTCATTGGTAGGAAAAATTCCTACAAACTTGATTGGTTGCACTCATCTAAAAATCTTATTTTTAGGTGGGAATCATCTGATTGGCAACATACCATTTGAATTTGGCTCACTTTGGAAGCTTCAACAGTTGTACGTTTACAATAACAATTTAACTGGAGGAATCCCGTCATTCATAGGGAATCTTTCATCCTTGACCGATCTCTCGGTGAGTGCTAACAATTTAGAGGGAGATATTCCACAAGAAATTTGTCGTCTCAGAAGCTTGAGGTTTCTCTCATTGGATAACAATCAGTTGACTGGAACATTTCCTTCTTGTCTTTATAATATCTCATCTCTTCTTGTATTCTCAGCTTCAATAAATCAAATTAGTGGCTCTCTTCCACCCAACATGTTCCACACCCTCCCCAACCTCCAATATTTTCTTATTGGTAAGAATCATATCTCAGGTTCAATCCCACCTTCCATCTCAAATGCATCTATGCTTTCTAAACTTGATTTATGTTATAACAATTTCACGGGACAAGTTCCAAGTTTGAGGAAGCTACACCATCTTTATGGACTAGCTATGGGTTGGAACAATGTAGGTGAAAATTCAACTAATGATTTGGATTTTTTAAAATCATTGACAAACAGTAGTAAGTTGAAAACTTTATATATGCCCCACAATAATTTTGGAGGTCATTTGCCAAGTTCCTTGGGTAATTTATCCGTCCAAGTCAGTCAAATAATTCTCAGAGGTAATCAGATAACAGGTGAATTAAATCTCATTTAAAATCAACACTAAAATTGTGTGTAACTATATGTCAAATAGACATACACCTACATATATTATACTTATAGTGACACTTTTTATATGTCACTATATGTAATATTTCTTGTAGTGTTGGCTGTGTTGGGTACTAGAGGGAAAAGAAAACTGCAACGGCGGAAGCACACACACAAGAGAAACAAAAATAGAGAAACAAACTTAGAAATTAACGTGGTTCGGCACTTCTTGCCTATATCCACAAAAACTCTCATGTCAAATAGACATACACCTACATATATTATACTTATAGTGACACTTTTTATATGTCACTATATGTAATATTTCTTGTAGTGTTGGCTGTGTTGGGTACTAGAGGGAAAAGAAAACTGCAACGGCGGAAGCACACACACAAGAGAAACAAAAATAGAGAAACAAACTTAGAAATTAACGTGGTTCGGCACTTCTTGCCTATATCCACAAAAACTCTCAACAAATTATTTTATTTCTCCACTTGCAATTTTTACAACGACAAAATTGCAAACCCTCTCATTCACAAGTTTTCTAGCGAAACTTGGAAACCTTCTCACACAATTTTTACACGAAAAAATTGCAAACCCTCTCATGACACACAACTATCCAAGTCCCCAATACACCCAAAGATTGTTGTTGTGGTGAGTAGACCTAAACTATCACCCCTTATTTATAGTAGTAGTCTACCACTTCTCTTCTTCACAACTACCCGATGTGGGACTTTGGAGGATACCCACATACTTTTAGGCACAAAATATCCTCCCTTCATCCAAAGTCTCACATTAATCCATCATCATTCACAAGTTTTCTGGCAAAACTTGGAAACCCTTTCTCACAAGTTTTTCTAGCGAAACTTGAAAACTATCCTCACAAGTTTTTCTGACGAAACTTAGAAACCCCTTCCTCACAAGTTTTTTGACGAAACTTGGAAACCCCTTCTCACTTCTAGCGAAACTTGGAAACCTCTTCCCACAAGTTTTTCTGACGAAACTTGGAAACCTCTTCTCTCTGAGGGCGGGACATCTTTTCCTCCCTGGTACACTACTTCTCTTCCTCCCTTGGTCAAAACCTCAATTCTTTTCTGATGTGGAAGATTAGACAATGCTGCAACCACAGAGCATACTAAGAATTAAGAATCCCACAGAGTCCCACCACACCAACCTGGCTTTGATACCACTTGTTAGAGGGAAAAGAAAACTGCAACAACGTAAGCACACACACAAGAGAAAAAAAATAGAGAAACAAACATAGAAATTAACGTGGTTTGACACTTCTTGCCTACATTCACAAAAACTCTCAATAAATTATTTTATTTCTTCACTTGCAATTTTTACAAGGAAAAAATTGCAAATCCTCTCATTCACAAGTTTCCTGGCGAAACTTGGAAACCTTCTCACACAATTTTTGCACGGAAAAATTACAAACCCTCTCATGACATACAACTACCCAAGTCCCCAATACACCAAAAGACTAGTGTTGTTGTAGTGAGTAGACCCAAACTATCACCTCTTATTTATAGTAATAGTCTACCACTTCTCTTCTTCACAATTACCAGATGTAGGATTTTGGAGGATACCCACACACTTTTGGCACAAATGGCTGCTCCCACCTCATGACACAATGACACTTATATTAATGTGGATGGCAATGTGTTGGATCCCTGGTTGACTTTGCTGGTCTTTGTCGTAACAGTTAAGGAGAGTCTATTTCGTTGGTTTTCATGGAAAAGGTAGTCGAATTCCAATTATACATGCAGAGATACTTGCTTTGCTGCATGGTCTTTGGTTATGTTGGGACCGATTAGCAACATTATTTGTTATCCAGGTTCATCAAATGTTCTTAATTAACCTTGTACATACTAAAAAGTTATTTTACCACACATTTGGAAATGGGTTATGGAGGTTCATCATTTTCTAGAAAGAAATTAGACGTGCATGCTACAACATATATTCTGAGAGAACAATTAGTCAGTGAATGCCTTAACTAAGGTAAAGGTAGTTGGGGATAAAGATCTAGTGATCATGCATGAACCACCAATGTAAAATGAGCATTTACTTCCAGCTATTTATTTCATTTTTTAGTTATTAATGAAAGTGCTTTAGGCTTGTTTTTTTTCTTTTTTTTTTCCTTCTTTCATATGTATAAAAAAAACCCGATACAAGTAAAATAACATAAAATAACACATTAATTCTTTGTGACATTTATCTTCTTTGTAATGATGAGTGATCATAATCTCCACAACCATTGCTGATGAAGTTGAAGAAACATTACTTCGGCTTTAGAGCATTACCATATATATATATATATATAACTAGTCGAATATTCTGTGTGTTGTTCATCGCACTTTGTTGTTGATGAAATTGGAATTGTATTCCGAGCATGTGATTAGTATTTAGTAGGTGCTCAACTTGACTATATAGAAGAAAAAGAAAGGTACAAACACTATGGTCATTTTGAAGGTGGGCACAAGAGATAATAATTATATGATCCAAGGTCTGAGCAAAGGAAAGAGAGTGGACACGCAAAATGGAAATAATGTCTACAAGTGTATATAAGAAAAGATGATTAGGAACTTAAAACATGATACTGTGGTTAGTGGTTACCGTAAGAGAAAAAAAAATGCATGATACCGAAACTCCTTTTTATTTATTTATTTATTTATTTATTTATAATTATTTAGTATTCTTTCCCTAAGAGTTAGAG